CTGTGGGCTGTTGTTTTGTCTTGTTGACTGTGTCCTTTGCCTTATAGAACTTCTCAGTTTCAGGAGGTCCCATTTATCAATTGTTATCTCAGTGTCTGTGCTATAGAAGCAGTCTCCTGTACCAATTCATTCAAGGGTATTTCCTATTTTCTCTTCTAGTAAGTTCAGTGTGGCTGGATTTATGTTGAGGTCTTTGATCCATTTGAACTTAAGTTTTGTGCATGGCGATAGACATGGATCTATCCAAAGTCTTCTACATGCCAGCATCCAGTTATGCCAGCACCGTTTGTTGAAGATGCTTTCCTTATTCCATCGTATTGCTTTAGCTTCTTTGTCAAAAATCAGGTGTTAGTAGGTGTGCTAGTTAATATCAGGGTTTTCAACTCGATTCCATTGGTCTATTTGTCTATTTTTTGTGCCAATACCAAGCTGTTTTCGGGATAGCTCTATAATAGAGCTTGAAATCAGGGATGGTGATGCCTCTGGAAGTTCTTTTATTGTACAGGATTGTTTTGGCTATCCTGGTTCTTTTGTTTTTCCATATAAAATTGAGAATTGTTCTTTCAAGGTCTATGTAGAATTGTGCTGGGATTTTGATGGGATTGCATTGAATCTATAGATTGCTTTTGGCAAGATTGCCATTTTTACTATGTTGATCCTACCTATCCAAGAACATGGGAGATCCTTCCATTTTCTGGTATCTTCTTTAATTTCTTTCTTTAAAGACTCAAAATTCTTATGATACAGGTCTTTTGCTTTTTTGGTTAGCATTACCCCACGGTATTTTATGTTGTTTGTAAAGGGTGATGCTTCTCTGATTTTTTTCTCAGCACATTTATCATCCATATATAGTAGGGCTACTGATTTTTTTTTTTTTTAGTTAATTTTGTATCCTGCCACTTTGCTGAATGTGTTTATCAGCTGTAGGAGTTCCTTGGTAGAGTTTTTCGGGTCACTTATGTAGACTGTCATATCATCTGCAAACAGTGAAAGCTTGACTTCTTCCTTTCTAATTTATATCCCCTTGATCTCCTTTTTTTGTCTTATTGCTCTAGCTAGAACTTCAAGGACAATATTGAAGAGATATGGAGAGAATGGAAAGCCTTGTTTTGTTCCTGATTTTAGAGGAATGGCTTTGAGTTTCTCTCCATTTAGTTTGATGTTGGCTGTTGGTTTACTGTATATTGTTTTTTATTATGTTCAGGCATGTTCCTGTTATCTCTGACCTCTCCAGGACCTTTATCATGAAGGGGTGTTGGATTTTGTCAGAGACTTTTTCAGCATCTAGTGAGATGATCATGTGGTTTTTCTTCTTCAGTTGGTTTATATGGTGGATTACATTGATAGATTTTTGATTGTTGAACCATACCTGCATCCTGGGGATGAAGCCTACTTGATCATGGTGGATGATTTTTCTCATGTGTTCTTGGATTCAGTTTGCCAGTATTTTGTTGAGTATTTTTACATCAATGTTCATGAGGGATATTGGTCTGTAGTTCTCTTTCTTAGTTGTGTCTTTCTGTGGTTTGGGCACCAAGGCAATTGTAGCCTCATAAAAAGAGTTTGGCAATGAACTTTCTGCTTCTATTGTGTAGAACAATTTGAGGGGTATTGGTATTAGCTCTTCTTTGAATTTCTGGTAGAATTCTGCACTGAAGCCATCTGGCCCTGGGAAAAAAGAACTTTCTACCTGTTATCAGTTAATCTCCCTTTTCCTCCAGGCTTTCATCTCCCAAACCCTAGGCAGTCACATGCCTACTTTCTGTTTCTACAGAGTTATCAGTTCTTGGCACTTCACATAAACAGGATAGTTCAATGTGCTGCCTTTTGTGACTGACTTTCCCCCCTTATACATCTTTATTTTTATTTTTCATTTTCCATACACCCCAACCACAGTTTCTCCTTCCTCCACTCCTCCCAGTCCTCTCCACACGTACTTCAGCTCTCCCCCAAATCCACTCCTCCTCCTCCATTTCCCTCCAGGAAAGAGTAGGCCTCTCTGACTTTTTAAAGAATAATTTTATTTCAAGTAAATTCCTACTAGCCCTTGAAATTCAAATGTATCCCAAGTAAGGGCCATTTATAAAGATCTCAATGGAACTGCTCAAAGTTATCTTAAAGCTCAGTTGATTATCTGAAAGCATAGTCAATTATTGCCATCATCAGAGTGAGTGAGTGGGTAGGGTAGGACAATTCCAGCATTCTACTTGGCACCCATACCACCAAATTCCGGACACACCCCAGCCCCAAGCCATGAGGGTTGGATTGGAGGTCTCTACTGCCTGGAAATGGCTACTGAAATTGTGAAGTCTAAATAGCATTGAATATACAGGACTTCCCCAAGCCTCCCACTTCCTGAAGAAGCTCAAGCAGAGGTGTATGCAGCCAGGGCTCTGCTTTATCTCCACAGTGCTTCCCGAGGCCTCTGTCCAGTGTTGAGCATGGTGTGTGTCCATAGTGCATTTGGAACTGCCAACCACCTTCCTATAGGAGAAGCCAGAGAAAACAGCCTTATGCCACCTCCCTTCTATTCCTAGTACATTTGGTGATTTTCTGAGGGCCAGAGCTCTGCAATAGACAGCTTGAAACCCTTCACACACAACTCTTTCAGAATCTCAGTCTCAGTGGTGTCCTTGGTAACAAGCAACCTGTGCTCTTGTTACAGTCAAGACATGGGAAAAACACCATAGGCCAACTGCCCACCTTGCTCCCAAGTGATCCTGAGAAATTGCCTCCCCTCCGGACCTCCCCATCTCACCCACTCACCCCACCCCTGTCTGACAAATGAAGAGGGGCTGGCTTGCTTGAGGATACCTCCCAAGGTTCTTGGAAACTGCATGGCAGGACCTTGCTGCCCTGGGTCTACTCTCTTTCCTCTTGTGAGAGGAAAGAAAGGTCTTTGGTCAGGACAGGTGGGCCCAGAGAAGCTTCTCTTCAGCCCAGGGAACCAGACAGAAGTGACAGGTATTTCCCAATGTCTCTCTGCTGGGGACTGTGAGAGACCTCAGCTCTGTAAGGCTGCCAAGAAGGCACATGGAGTCTAAGTGATACCTGGAGTATAAACAGGCATGTCAGAAAATGGCTACTCACATCTGCCTCCAAGGAGGTAACTCAGCAGCCCCAGGTCAGCCACCACACCCTCCAGGGTAGCTTTCTGGGCTGATTCACTCTCCAAGAAAATGAATGTTTCTTTCCTTAAAAAAATTTAATATAGTCAGGTGGTGATGGCGCATACCTTTAATCTAAACACTCAGGAGGCAGAGGCAGACTGATCACTGTGAGCTTGAAGACAGCATGGACTACAAAGCGAATTCCAGAACAGCCAGGACTGTTACACAGTGAAACCCTGTCTCAAAAAACTAAAACTAACCAAAATTAATGTAAATCAAGTACAGAGCATGCAAGGCAAAGAGCATTGTCTGTGGGCTAAGCATGTCTGTGGACACTCAGGACATGTTCAGCTACTAGGCGCAGGCTCTGCAGGCAGCTATCAGAGAGAGAGTGGACACTGTAGGCACTGCTCTGCTGCTGCATGGAAGCGGACAGGCAGCCAGCATGCAGGAAAGAAGGTAGAGGAGGGCAAGATGGGAGCAAGGGGTGGAGCAGGAGCTGGTGCTCACATCCACAGGAATGGCAGAGGCAAGTCCTGGAAGCAGAAGGGAAGTTGAGGCTGACTCCTGGGATGGGAGGGGGATAGTGAAGCAAGTTCCCTACATGGGGGTGGGGTGGCTGAAGGGATTCTGACATGAGTATTTGCTAAGCATGGAGCTCCACAGACAAGACAAAGGCACAGAGGAAGCTATTGACTGAGCAAGGCTCAGCAGGGAACCAGGAAAGAGACAGCTAACACACCTTCTGGGCTTCTAGTTCAAAGTCATGTTTCTTGTGAGCTGGAGAAGCACTGCAGCATGGGCTCCCAGGAGCTCCCTAGAGCATCCGCTGATTATTAGAGAAATAACAGATTCAGCCCAAGTCTGAGAAGGCCCATGGCTGGACAGCCATGTGCACCAACCAGGGAAAATTTTCCTTGATGCTTGTGAAGACGAAGACAACACCCCCAAAGGAACATCTGTCCATAGCAAGGGCCACGCCCTGTTCAACTTCTCATGGTTAATGGTACTTTCTCCCAGCGGCTAAGCAGGTATATTTACTGATTCTCTGATTTCCTTTTTCTAGCAGGGACTCAAAACTTTGCAGATGATTGCTTATTTTTCTAATGAGTTAGAGTCTCCTTTGATAACTGGCCCCTTCTTCTCACAGGGCCCAGTGCTTCCTCCACCTTCATGGCTCACGGGCCCATAGACCGCTTACCGTGCTACCCACATTTCTGCCTCTGCAGGCTTGGTGGCACCGTTTTCGAAGCTCACCAGTCTTGTAGCATGGCACAGCTCCTCTGTTTTTATTGCTGACTAGTATTCCACTGTGTAGATTCACCATATGTTGATTATCTGGTTGATGGACATGTGATAAGTTTTCTCTTGTTGGTTGTTGTGAGTAATGCTCCTATGAACACTCACACACTGGGTTTGAGGTGAAAATAAAGACTCTTCTCTCCTGGGTATACACCCAGGAGTGGAACCGATGGGTCATATGATAACTCTATGTTTATCTTTTTGAGGAACTTCTAGACTTGTTTCCACAGAATCTGCACCATTTCACATTCCATCAGCAGGATGGGCTTTCTAATTTCTCTGTATTCTTGTCAACACTTGTTTTTATCAGGGTTTTTGCTGTGCTGTGGTTTGGGTTTCCACCTCCCTGGTGATTAATGATTCATGTGCCCCGCCCCCACTCTTCATCTCTGCACTTATCTCTCCGCTGACTGGCTATAAGCAGTTTAGCTACCGTCATTTGAGTAGCTGGAAAGTATGAATATGTCACATAGAGGAAGGCTGTGTGTCAGCTTGTGAGCTTTTACTTCAGCTAGTATGTTAGTCAGCTTCCTACACTATCACAGACACTAGAGTTCCATCACAGAGAGAAAGGGCTTATTTGGCCTTTGACAGACATGGAAATAGAGAGGGGAATTCTGTATGTAGAGATGGGAGGAGTTGCCTGGAGAAAAATGAATATTCATTGCTAATAGGTAGAAAGTTTGTTTCAGAAGGGGTAAGTGTCCTGGAATTCACTGCAGTAATGGCTACATGACCCTGTGAACTGATTTACAGTTTGAAAGTCTCTAGTCTGTTGCTGATCAGTCTTTGGGCTTCTGGTGAGACAGCACACCACAATGGAAGAAAGTGGTGGAGTGAGACCACTTCCCACATGGCCAGGAAGAGAGAGAAAGGTCCATCAGTTTGAATGTATTATTCATAACACTCACAGTCACCAATAATCTGCTGGTGTCACAGTAAGTAAAAGAAATTAAAAGAATGTGGATTCACTTAACCAAGTGGGAACCCAGATTGAGATTCTCTACTGTGCCCCCATGTCTTTCGCTGTCTCCCATCTGTCTGTTGTATGGGTCTGAATCTCTGTCTGCCAGAAAGTGTCTTGTGAATCTGCCTGCCCCTGGGTCTATCTCCAACAAAGGGCTCTGCTCTGTGTTTATTGAACAGCATAGAAAGAATCACATGGAGGAGGGAATGGGGGTCACTTTACAGAAATCTTCCAACAGTTTTACAAGGGATTAGGTCACTGACTCCAACTGATCCCAAACCACCCAGACAATAAACAAACAAACACTACCACAAAATACCGAAATGCTGAATCCAGCATTTATGAGGACATTTGTTTTATAAGGTTGCTTTTCAACCCATGTCTTATTTTCGATAATAACTATCACAGCACACATACAAACACACATACATTGCTCTCTGTATGTGAGGCAGGGAAGAGTATGTAATTTAAGACTGCAGGTCTGCATTGGCTTAGGTTATAAAAGTTCATCACATAGGAAATCCCAGGCAAGTAAGGTTCTCTTCGAGGCAGGTTAAGCAAACAGGAACACAGTAGGATAGCAGTGTCTTAAGCTTTAAGTGGCTTCAATGTGTACTACTCTGGCTGTGAGGTCCAGCAAAAGTTGCAGTATCTTTGAATGTAGCAACCATTTCATAAAAATGCATCACCACTTTCCAATGCCACGAAGACTTCTTCCTAGGACCCACCTCTTCAAGTTTCCACTGTGGCCCAATAGTGCCTGTTATGATAAAGCCTGAGGAAAGTTGGTGGATTCCATGACAGTCGAGGGTGACTGAGGCAGAGGGACAAACATGCCAGGAAACAGAGCTTAGTGAGGAGTTTTATTAGAAAAGGTGGGGATGGGGGAAAAGAGGTAAAGAGACACAGATACAGAGAGAGGACAGAAGAGAAGAGGGAGATAGGAGAACAGCAAGGGAGAGAGAGAGAGAGAGAGAGAGAGAGAGAGAGAGAGAGAGAGAAGGGAGA